TGTCTTCATCAATAGATATAATTATGTAATAATGCTATTAACTGACTAGATAAATCAGTTTTCCACGCCATTATCAGGATGAATGTATAATCTCTTGCGTGAGTGTTATATCTGCTTGTAAATGACAACCTTTATTGTATAAAGCTGCCTGGTGTTGTTACAAAGTCTTAGAGAAGCTGATAACCATTCACGCTAACAGTTATTTGAAGTCTTTTACTTTAATTCTGTAACTGACATTCCTCATTAGATCGACCAGTGAAGTGATATTGCTCAACCATTACAGTTGTACTGTTTATCTAGGTATTTATCACTCGTTTTTTCTCTTGTACATATCCTTTTTCATATCAAGAGAAATCCAACAAGTCAATGAGCTAAAAATTCATGTTTAATTTAGCATTTGTGGGGATTTAGTGATTATTCAAGTTGGTATTCATCATGAGCTGACATCAATTGGAAAAACATTGGAAACCTGAAGTTCAAATGGAAAGTCGTGATTAGTGGGGCAAACCTAGTGGCTGTGAGGACAAATACTCAACGATAACATTGGGTGATGGTCGGGCTATGTCGTGAACTGACAGAAGTTGGAAATATGGACCATTGGATTCCGACCCTATTGGGTCAGTGGTAACGTGTTGGCCACGCAAACGGAAGGTCCTGGGTTCGATCCATGGTGGGGCAGGGTCATGGGTGCTCACTGCCGAGGAGCAACATACTAGGATGAAACAGCTGTCCAGTGCTCCCAAGTTTCTAATGTCCCTCCAACTGATGTTAGTCCATGATGAATACTAGCTTAAAACTTCATGTCCGGTAGTAATTAGTATGGTGAAGTGGTGACGGTTTACCTCAAGGTAGATGGTAAATGTATCTATCTGTCCCACTGTATTAAATCTTATGAGATATCACCCATGATCTAAACTTATTATTATTATTATCATTATTATTATTTATAGTAATGATGGGCGGTGGCTAGCAAGGGCACCAAAAAATGCGCTATTCGCGATAGTATAATTATAATTTGAAGACAAACGATGGGAAGTGGATAAATAAAAAAGAAAAACAATAAGAATAGCGTGATTAGAAGGCCAGTCCAGTCAGACACCATTAATTTTCAGCAGTAGAAGATGGAAGGGAGGCTACAGCGCGACCGACACCGGTTTCGATTGTGAGCCATATTTGATAACGTCTCAAGCCACTGAGTTGCCTGATCTCTCGGACCCCAACCAGGGAGTCCGTAACGCACCAACAGATGCTAACCCGACACAGCTATCTTTCACCCCACGACACCACGTCATACACTGACCAGCCCCCCGCTTCTTACGTCCAGTCCCACGGCTAGCAAAAAATGAACGGCATGGAAGGCGTTGGGACGACATGCGTAACACATGTCTCAGCCATTGAAGCCAGTGTTTCCAGTTAACTTTGCTTATTGAATGAAAATCTCCATCATACCCAAACACACGCAGTTGTACCTCAGAATTGCTTATATGGTGTTGCCACTGGATACAAGCAATCCTACAGAGGCAAGGATGATCGAACACACAGAGTTGTCTCATACCCTAAGCTCGGAGAGGCCAGGTATCAGAGGCGTACAAAGGAATCGCTCGCACCCGACCTTTCACGGTCAGAGTAACAGCGCTAAAGGTGGCCCAGACTGACATATGACACTGACTTTCGATATGCGGTTGGAAATTTCACTGCTCACACAACTACCAAGATACATCAGATTTTCGACTATTTCCAATGGCTCACCGCCAAGAGTGAGCACAGGTACAGGCTCCTTCCATTCTTGCAGAAGTACTTTGCACTTCGTTGGTGCAAAGTACATACCACACTTACGGACATCTTGAATTTGAGTAACAACGCTTACAGTTTCTTTCATGTCATATACCAACATTCAGTAACCGTTTTACTTTTGAACCATTTCACCATATAATCCAGGTTTCATTGATGTGGTTTCCATTGTGGTGTAACTTTAATCCTGAACTTTGAATTGAAAAACAACTAAGTCTTTACATTTGTCACCTAATTAATGCTCTACATAAATTCTTCCACATTGTAATGAACCAATTTGCATCTGTATACTTTAGTCTTTCTAAAGCGAATAAACAATTAAGTAGCAGTATAACCTAGTCTAGCTGTATGCTAATGCACATCTGGGTTATTAAACGCTAAATTACATGGATATTATATGCTTATCACAAGGTGTTCGTGTACATAAACTTCAGGGTGGCAAGTGAATTTGAAAACTTTCTTTCTAGCTGAGATACTTTTTGTTTACGTGAAACTTGAATGATTCTGAAAAAAAGGATTATGAAATCATATCAATCTAAGTAATAACTCGTTTACGTTAAGTTGTCAAAGTTTTTCATGGATAACAAATCAATTGTGTATTTCAATTTCAGTTATTTCATTGCTTTCTTTTATTATGATAAGAATATGTTTTAATTTTAAAATCCCAGTGGGTTTATGAAATGAAAATAAAATTTTTCTGAATATTTCTCTGTTTAACCCACAGTCTCTTCAACAGAATATTCTAATTTTCATAAAAAGTCAAAATCTGTAATCAGATAGTGTCTAGTGTATTGGTGTTAAGTGACCTAGACGCTAGGATTATAGTAGAGTATGTGGTTTTCATGATTCAATCAGGCTGGACGCTCAAGTTTTTCACAATAATCGTAAAAACCGTGGTCTAGATATTTAAATTTTGGGGATATGCGGGGATTTAAGCTGGTATTCATCACGAAGTGACATCACCAAATCTGTCTTGATATTTGTAACTTCCTTTTATCATTATTATTATTATTATTATTATTATTATTTTTGAGGATATTTTTTCCTGCGTTTTGATAGACATTCATCTGTAAAGGATATTAGTGCTGATCTCAACCTTATTTAACACGAAACTCTTCGTCCTGTTTCGTCTGTGAATCATATGTAGTCTTAACAACTAGCTATTTTAGGAAGTGTATTTTAAGCTGGAATGAAATGAAACAACCTCTTATAGTCTAAACGAGGACAGAAGATTATTACGTAGTCGCTTTATGTTAATTCTATGCATTTTAAAAAGTCTAGGCTACGAAGATTAGATTCTGATTTTGTTAATCACATCAAAAGTATCGAGATATTAGATGACTGTTTCGCGTAGTAAAATTCAGTTCATCAAGAGTGTATTAGAATATCATTTTGACTTTCTGAGATAGCTGTAGTTTGGCAGACTTCATCACTCTGTATTAGAATTATTTCGTTTCTCATAGCCGAATTATTTAGAACAACTAAATCTGATTGGATGATCTTCAATGAACTGATATTACCGTAAGGTAGTTGATTAATCGATAAATTGCTTACAAAGTGACAAGCTCGATGATGATATTTCTTATATCTGAGTAGTTTTACAACCAACCCAATTGTCATTCCAACAGAGTTCCTGTTAAAAATCTATGATCACTGGTTATGATCTCTGAAATGACAGTATGACAAAGTAAACTACGCATACTATGATTATTATATTATTTTTCCCTTGGGTTCCTAGTGGAACATAAGACTTCAGTAGCACGTCTCCAGTGCGCTCTGTTCTCTGCAATCTTTTGAACCTGGCTCCACGACTGCCCACAAGCTCTCATTTCTTTCTCACAAGATCTCTTCCATGTCACCCTCGCCTCGGACGCCCAACTCGCCGTCTCCCATCTGGGTTCAAATCGAGTGCCTGGCACGTGGTGTCCCCGAATGGTCTTCTCAGTGCATGCCCAATCCATCTCCACTTCCTTCCAATGCATATTTGTTAAGTGATAGGTTCTTGGTTGGTTTGTTGCCAACTATCTTACACTTTTTTACAGAATTTCTAGCTCATAAAAGTTCCAGTCAGTATGACATAACCTGTACATACGTTTACATTAGAATCGGTTAGACGAGGTCATTGTTACCTTGTTAGATTGTTGTTTATACAAGTAGACATTGTTATTTAGTACTAAGCATTAAACGTACTGAATGGTTGTATCTGACAAGAGTTGAATATATGATAACTGTTATGACCGGTAGTATGACCTAACAGCCTACGAGCTATACGAACCTAACGTGCAAATGAATTGACTTTAACGCAAATCAGAATGCGAACTACCACCACAACAATACCACCGACGCGCGAAGACAAGAAGAAAAGACAGACCGTTGATAGAGAGCTTTTTTACTCTCTCAACAACAGTCTGAACTTCCATGCGTCATCTCTTTTTGCAAAGTCTTCTTTGAACAAGTCTTCATATCTGCGAAACCATGTATGGAATGTTATGTTTGCATCTGGGTCATAGACGAATTCGGATATGCTGCTACTAACGTTGTCATTGGCTGGAGATGAGTCGACTCGGGAAGATATCCTTAAGCCAGCAAGCAACTCTATCATTTCAACCTGCTGCTCCGTCAACTTCTCCAAGAGTGATGGGTCCGTTGGAAAATACTCCGGTTGCCGATTTGTTATGACCAGTAGTATGACCTAACAGCCTACGACCAATACATGAGCCTAGCAGACTTCGAGCGATACGAACCTAACGTGAAAACGAATCGACTCTAAAGCGAACCAGAACGTCAACCACCACCACAACAACAACATTAATAATTTATCATCAATCTCCTCATTCACAGTGTCCAACAAGCTTAATCTTGCATACAGCATAAAATTATTTACAAGAAATGATCTGAATTCTTCATTTTTTCTAACTTGTCTTCTAAAAGACTTGATTTATACCACATAAGCATCACATAATTGACATATCTACTAACCCATCTTAGAGACTTTGTTTCTCCAACTTTTTGTGAGTATATACAGTATGCATAAGATATTTTTGGTGTCACATATAATAAAGTATTAATTCACTTTCCTGATTACATCGAACCGGCTAAAAGTCGTAAAATGTCTTTTAAAGCATTAGACACTTATTTTATTAAGTGATGCATTACATCTTACTCAATTTATTAGACCTTTTTCATTGTGTTTATATTTACAATTATAGCCTATGAGAGTAACCTATGCTAAAAAGGATTCTCAACAAATTATATGCTTAAAAGGTGTCAGTGCTGAAGTTCAAAAGAGACGTGAAGAGGAACGTGAAAAACGGAAACGGAAGAAATTGGCTCAACGTGCAGCGGCAGCAGCCGCAGCTTTACAAGCAGCTAACCAATCGGTAAACGGACCGGTAGGTGTATTTTTTCTCTTCTTCTTGGTGGAAGTAGATATGTCTGATGTCGAATGAATATGGAGTTCTTCATTTTCTTGGTGATCCAACTGCAAAGTATCGTCCTTTGTTAATACCAATAGTGGGCTTATAGACAGGAAGTGCCGAGGGTGGGGGAGGGGGAGACGATCATGCAGTTTGTTACCCTGTTGAAAACAGCTCAACAAAACCTTGCCAGTGATAAAATTTCCCATTTCAGGGATGCTACGCATTTATAAACTTGTATTATTCTTCGCCTGTCTTTTTATCTAGGCAACATACTTTACTTTCTACAGGCAATTAATTACATTGTACACAGTTCTTGATTCCACCTATTTCCCTTACTTAGCTTATGAGAATATTTAGAGGCAACCAGTAGAACTATGAAAGTGAATAGAATGAACGAATTGATAGAAGTCATCTTTAAATGTCCCTCCTCCTTTTTCTTTATATCATCATTAAAAATGAAATGCTGTCGAAGCGTACTCTTGTTGGATGACATTAACGATTGTAATCCTAATCTTCTGAGTTGTTTTTCACCTTAAAAAGAGGGTTGATACCACGGAAAATTCATTTGCAACACTAACCAACAAGTTTGTGTAAAATTGACATCTTGGCATGATTTTAAAAATTCATTTCCTTCATACAATAGAAAATGATATGACTGATGTAAACTACTCAAATCAGACATAAAATTGCTTTCAAAAAGATTGATCTACCATGCAGAGAATCCTATGACACCATCGTCCACTTGATTGAGTAACTACTTGGTAAATTCTCTTAGTTGCCTATCCTTAAAGTTGCATCCTTTGTTATGTGTATTTTTGTGCAAAATATCGAATCATATCAAGTTCACAGCCCCACCCTCACTCCCGTCCAAAATTCAGTCATATCAGTTAGACTACTATTTTGTATTTAAGTAGTTCAAGTTGAAAAGTATTCTTTCTGTAGAGTGCCATAGGAATTATAAACCCTATGTGATTCCTGAAAAAATTAAGGTTACAAATCTAGAGGTTATCGCTTAGAATGATCAGTCTATGACTGTTAACTGGAAATTCCCTTTAGAATTCTATGGTTCAGTATAAAGTAGTGTGCGTGAGTAGATTACAATGGTTCGAATTTCCTTTACGCTTGTCGAATAACTGTCTACATTGACTAGCGAATGTGGTTGAAGGAAGTGAAAGATACCAGAAATCAGAGTATTTGAACCGAATCTGTGTATGAAACTATCTCAGAGAATTATTTGTCACTTATACCAGTTGTATAAGCAATTACATAATAATTGACAAAGGTTTCCATATTTTCAGTAATCATTAATTTTAAACAGTGATTGTCATTAGTGTTATTGCTTGTATTCCACTGCTAGCCACTCCCCATCATTACTAAACATAGTGATTGTCATTATTATTATTATTATTATTTTTCCCTTGGGTTCCTAGTGGAATATAGGGCTTCAGTAGCACGCCTCCATCGCACTCTCTTCTCTCCAGTCTTTTGAACCTGGCTCCACGACTGCCAACAAGCTTTCATTTCTTTCTCACATGATCTTCATGTCAGCCTCAGACGCCCCTTTGGATTCCACTCGAGTGCCTGGTCTGTCGCGTGATGTCCCCAGTCGGCCTTCTCAGTGTATGCCCAATCCAATCCGTCTCCACTTTCTTCTGCATATTTGTTGGGTGATAGGTTGTTGGTTGGTTCGTCACCAGCCAGAATTCTTTGTTGCTTATTCTAATTGTTTTATTCTGGCCATCTGATCTTCAGTGTCAGTATCGAGTGAGCGTATGTGGCAGCCGTTGATGAATGTCTATAGTTTGTTGGATATGCTTTACGTGACACGCCAAGTTTCTGAACCATATAGCAGCACTGACTTGACGTTGGTGTTGAAAATCCGGATCTTGTTCACGCGTTGTGCTGAGTGCAGTAGATCTCCACACTGATTCCAGATTAATGAAAGCCTGTCTTGCTGTCTTTCCGATCCTGGTTTTGACACCCTCGTCTGTGCCGCCTGTAGTTGAAACAGTGCTTCCTAGAAAGGTGAAGGAGGCTACTTCCTTCAAGTTTCTCCCGTTGATGGTGATTACTGCTTGTTATTGTTGGTGGAGGTGTTGGTTGGGTATCTTCATCACCTCTGTCTTCTCTGCATTCACTTGAAGTTCCGTCTTTGCAGCCTTGCCTCTTCTGTCAACTTGTTAGTTTTCGCCTGTAGTTCTTCGAGTTTGTGCGGCAAGACATTAGAAGAAAATCGTCATCGGCGAAATCCAAATCTTCTAGCCTCTTTTCATCGATTCAGTCAGCGTATGCCCATCTTCTCACAGTTTGCTGCATGATCCCGTCGACTATAATCAGGAAGACCATCGGTGACAGTACGCGACAGCTTTGTCTCACCCCTGTTTTCACCTCAAAGGCGTCTCTAAGCTTTCCATTGTGGACCACTTGGTATATGGCATTATACAGCATATAGCTGTTGAATGAGGTTTATGAAGATTTGTGGCACTCCGTAGTGTTGAAGCAACTGCCAAATTACTTCTCGGTCGACGCTATCGAAACCCTTTTCGAAGTCGATAAAGTTGAGTTGACTGCCATTCTATGATGCGAAGCGTTGCAATTTGATCCGCACATGATTTGTTTTTCCTGAAGCCAGCCTGTGTGATTTTCATTGGTAGATGTTATTATTAGTGGTGTTAAACACTTTTACCATTCAGCATCTACTGATCCTCTACTTTAGATCCAGTGATTTCTGATATTTTTAAATGGTTTATTGGATACTTTAAACTTCTGTGTTTATGTAGAGTAAATACAAAAACAAATACACTCACTTTTCATATGTGTTATGTAATGTTACACGTTTTAAGGATAGTAAATATTAGTGCTGATTTTAAAAGGTGCTTCAATCCGTTAATCTTCTGTCAGTTTTAATGATTCTCTTGTTATCTATCGTATCCTTTTTTCAGGCTGGCACTGGTGGAGATATTAATGCTCTGTTAGATCAACCGAATCACATACTATTTGTTAGCAATCTACCAGAAGAAACTACTGATGCTATGCTTACCATGTTATTCAGTCAATTTTCCGGTTTCAAAGAGGCCCGTAGAGCTGCTGGTGGTGTTGGCTTTGTAGAATATGAAACTGAATCACAAGCAGCTGCGGCACGATCAGCCTATGAAGGATTCAAGTTGACACCGACACACGCTATGCAGATTACTTTTGCAAAGAAATAAATAAAAATTCAATGACTTTTTATCTACTGTGTTTTCAGGTATTGCAATAAAATTACATATCAATGACATGCACATTTGTGTATCAATTATTGCAACTCATTTATAAAGTTTTTCTCGATGTGATCTTCAAATACCCTACACGAATCTACAGAAAATAAAAGGGGCTGACAGTTGAAAATCGCAGTTTGCAAGTTAGCTTTTCACACCTTATAATCATATGCAGTTGCATAGTGTCAAGTCAACAATGTAGCTATGGTTCATTGGCCTAGATACTCGAGTTTTTACCAGGGGATCTGGAGATCGGACTTATTTTGTCTACTGAAGTGTGGACATCAGAGTAGTATAGTTCACCCCCGCACAATAAGTTTCTCTCATTGACTACTACTACTATACGGACGCGTACATTGTTATTCTTTGCATTCCAATCCGGCTAGCAGCTAGATGTGGGGACTCACATCTACTGTGCATATAGATAAATGACAGCTAACGATTTGTTTAGTGATACAAGCAAAACCTAACGTTGCAACTATGATATTTGAATCGAAACGCACAAGGCGAATGCAAACGAGAGTGGATGGGCTATCGAACGAGGTGCTCCGTGTGTATGCTGTTTCCGTAATCATGTGATCTTATTGTAGGGACTCCTTTACAGGTTGTTGACCATTTGAACATGCATATCTTCATTGTCCAATGTGGTTGAGGAGTGGTTTTTCTGTGTATTGTAGAAGATGATGAAGCGAATACCCACCGGAGGTGGTGAGTTCTGTCAAAGGTGTACGGAAGACAACGGCATGCAGGCTTTGGTGCCATCTCGTGGACTTGGCTGTGAATGTGTGGACCGATGTGAAACACTGGATCAACGCGAAACCAGTGCGCGTGTGGATGCAGTCCATATATGAGTCTGAATTAGCTGTGATGACTTCAACCGTGCATGGCTTGAAACCACGGTCGGCCCTGAGTGGGTTTGAGCCACCAACCTTCCCGCCTATAGCCGAATGCGCCATGGAGGTATGCGGATTTCTCTGATCTCACCTACAAATATCACTGTTGCACACAAGCTTGCGGGAATCCACGCCAACATTCAGCACAAAAACAGTGTAACTCACTGCATCCACAACACCAATCATCACCGGTTTCCTCAGCTTGATTGGCCTGTTGCGTTAAAAGAAGTTTATTGAATGCTTACTTGAGTCATTACAAGCATCCCCTCAATCACTTCCTGTTTCTTTTTGTTCTTGTGTTTGTATTTCTGCTCCTCTTCCTGTCCAGGCTTCTGTTCCCCTTCTCCTCCGATTTCTTCCCCTCCTTTTCAGTCTGCTGTCACCATCTTTCCCTTACTATTCCTCTTAACAGTACTAAAAAAAGTCACCATATCCATTTTTCACCTTATTTTTATTCATTTAATCACTATCATCTTCATCATTGTAATCGTCTTCTTCCATATCATTATTCTCTTCTTCCTCTTACGATTCCACATCGGCCTCGTCTGCGTGAGAATTCTTCTACTCTAATGATATACACGAGTCATCAAACCGATTGTCTTTCATGCATTCATCTCAGCTCACCGATATTAATCAGTCGGTATCTACAAATCTCCACTCGATGTAGTTGAACAGGTACTTACGTGTTTTGACGTTCCGCTTGATTATACGCTTTTGCATTCATCACTCTCAAGTGATGTCTTTTATCGCAGTCACTATAGACGGTGGTTGAAAACTCACCCAGTTGACGAGACCATCATCAAGTAAGCTTTGGTTTGTCATGAAAATAGTGAGGCAGACGCCTAGATCCAGGATCTCACCGTGAGTATTCATACTGAAAACACAGGTCTATTTTCCTGCTGCTCCTAACCATACTCATATAAGCGATTCTATGAGGGAAAGGGACAAGTGATATCTCACTTATTGTTTCTTCTGACACTGGCTGATAATGACTGCACATTACAATAAACTTAGCACCAATCAGTTTGAAGAGGGACAACATTCTTGGGTATGAGTATTTTCTTGTGGGCTAGATCGTTGAGGTACATCATAATTCTGTTTGTTGATTACTGTCGACAAGTTGTCGAAGCGGTCTTATGAGAGATAACTATTCGACGAAGAAATATCGCATGTTATGTTCTGCAGTTTCCAGTTGTACAATGTTATTGCCATTCCGTATTGGATTGTATATCTTGAGTTGATATTTCTCGGCACTCGTCTTTAGTGTTATTTTCTTTAATTTCTCTTATCTCACGATACTTTCTTGTTTTAGCGTGCTGAGCTTTTACTCCTCCCTTTGCGTTTCATAAAATGAATGCTCTTCCAGTCTCCTTTCTTTAACTTTTTTCTCTTGTCTGGCTTGATTTTCACCTTCGTCTGTGGTCCGTTTTTATCCACCACCGATAGATGCTACCTTGACGTGGTGGTCGGGCCTGTATATCACAATGACCCAACGAGCTATGTTGGTGGAACAAGTGTTCCCTCGAGGTCCTACCAAATTAGGAAGGTTTACTGGATAATGGTTAGACAAAAAGCAGTTACCGTTATAGTGTAAATTGCTACGCTATGATGGGGATCTGAGGGCGAAGTCGTACTGCTGACTGGATGGGAGTGGGACGGCAGTAAGGTGTTTCTCTTGGATGGCCAGCAGTGCCACGTTGATGCTGCCTTCCCTATGGGAAGGCGGGGAGGAGAGGTTAGAATAGGCCGATCTTCAATATGGCACACTTCGCCCTTTCGTAGCATACCGATGTCTACAAGCGGGATTCAAAAGCAAAAAATAGAAAATCTCAAACCTACCCAGAGGTTGTATGTGACTGGACTCTAGCAGACGTCTCTAGGGGTCTGCGGTCAGACAAATCTTTTTCTGTTTCAGGCACCTTAAGAAAAAACGGCCTTCCACAGTATGGGTATTCGGGAAGTCAACCGCCCACACGCTTCCAGTAGCATAAAAGATCCAACCAAACATAACCTATCCTCCTCAATTCTGTCTCTTCCTTTGGTCCCACCTTCTGGTACTAATATTAAGCCCTTTACACCTTTCCCAACTTTTCATTCTGCAACCGTTGTCAACGATCAAAGCTATTCCAACCTCTCTCCAAAATCTCTACCCATGGATGAATGCTGTATGTCTCACACACGTATACAGGATCTGAGTGTGGTTATGAAAATGACTCCCCCTCGCCATTGAATCTAGTACTTAGCTGCTGATTACTCGCTGGTGTAGGCATAGCATTGGGTTTTAGAGTAGAAAGGGCACTTTTCGACTGTATACAAGTCAACAACCATTTATATATGATCCTACTGAATGAATATGTAACAACCAGGAAAGATCGTGAGGCCAACCGATGCCAATCCATAGATTCCGCCAAAACACCCACAGACTTCATTCCGCATGATGCAACGGGCGATTTAAATTTTGCTGCACAAAGCTAAATGTTCACATGTATTCACAATGGCGAGGGCCTAAGCACTTAAGTAAGGAAAGCTGAGTCGAATGGAAAGATACTGACTGACATATCAACCAACCGACAACGGTGGTCGTCTCCTGCAACTTTATTCTCATAATCAACAATAACTTGAAGCATAAGAAGAAACATTGTCTCACATGGTGTCCACCAACATTAAACCAACAGATAGATCATATTGCAGTAAGCCACCGTTGGAATAGGTCAGTGGAGGATTACCGCTCTTTCTGGAGTACCACTTCAGACTCCGATCACGCGTTTCTACTGGTATGGCTACATAAACGGTTTGCTGGTCTCAGGAAACAGGCGATAGTAAAGCCTGTGTATGCTCAGTTGGAAGACGAGAACACCAAGTACGTATCTAGGGAGGAGTTAGCTAAACATTTACCTGAATGTGACTGCAATGCTCATTCTGAGGAAACCCGGGGCGATATCCATTCTGGCGTAGAAACAGAGGTTAAGACGATTGATAACCTACACACGAAGGTTAGCAAATGTCATTGGATTTCTGTGACGTCATCATAACTGAGTGATGCGCGGAGACTAATTCCAGTGGTCCGTGACCACGATGAAGAGCGAAATCAACTTCAACATAAGTTGACCAAGAGATGAAGGAAGCATCATTGGTGGGTAACACTCGACAACTATTTAGGCTTATCAAAGATACTGGCAACAAGGAAATAAACGTTAGTGAAACCATCAGTGTAAAGGATGCGATGCTGATAACCTCTCAGTGTAGGTGGCTAGAACGTTGGTGAGAAGACAGTAAACAGTTCAACTGGCCTTCAGTAACGCTTCAGTTGCTCAACACCCAGTCATCTTGAACCTGAATGAGATGTACATGTCCGTCCTTCAACTCTCTTTTAGGTTGAGAAGGGTGTGTCGAACCTGAAACGATGCAAAGCAGCAGAACCTGACAGTTTACCATTAGACGTTTTCAAGGATGGAGGTGGTAAATTGATGGTTAGAGTAACGGAGGCACTAAAACGTATGTGGGAATCAGAGGTAGTGCCATCAGACTGTTCTACTTTTCTGATCATCCGAGTGTATAAGAAGAGACAGAAGTCTTCCTGTAACAACCATATAGGAATTAGTTTGACTAATGTCTCCATGGTTCTTGGGTGCATAGTTATATAGCGTCCAACTAGAATTGAGAACAAGAAACTCGGGAAAACCAGGCAGGTTTCAAACGGGACTGGATGAGGGTGCCTCGATCACATTTCTATACTACAACATGTCCTAGAATCCTGGCATAAAAACGACGGCCCACACGCCACATTTCATCGCGTGAAACCTGCATCTGTTGCTGTCGACCGTCAGGTGTTGTGGCAGTGTCTGATTAGGCATGGAGTATGGAGTCCGTATACAAGGCTAGTCAAAGATATCTAACCAAAAAAATATGGTTATGAAAGGACATATTCCATAGGTCATCACAAATAACGACAGCCACACAACAGTCAACACTACACGACATACTCAAAACCACGGAAAACTAAAACATGAGTCTCCTTCTCTCTATATCAAACACACACACCACGATTCACCAACGACT